TACCTCCTTACACTTGGTAGGGGACAGCTTTCTCATGGTCCATCCAGACATGTTATTTTCCACAGTTTAAAATTCCCCTGGGTTTATGGTTGGGTTTTGATGAATGGTAGCCACTTGGACAGATATCTCCAGGGTTGCTAGTCACCGTGGTATGGAGTACTGGTGTCCATCTGAGCGCTGTAGGCTAGTGTCAGAGCAGCACAAACTTCCTGGTGTGTAGTGGCAGAAACAATTTTTTCTTTTTCTAGAGGTCACTGAATGGCACTCTGGCCGAGCTCTCAGTCAGGCTTTCCCCTGCCCAAGTTTGTCCACATCCAGCAGATTTTTTTATCCATACTACTATATGGGCTGTTACTGGCTTCAGCACTAGTTTCTGTTTGCTTCTGGTTTACTTCTGAATCTAGACTCCTGTAGGCTCAGAGCCTTCTGGGAGCCACCCTTGTTATATTTCTTTTTAAAGTTTTCTTGTAGCATCAGTGAGACTTTAGAGATAGTCTCTAGTATAGCTTTTTCCTTTTTTTTTTTCTTTTTTTTTTGTCTTTACAGAACAGAACCAAAAATCTATGTACTTGCTCTTGCAGCTATATTGGGACAGGAAGCTGATGTAAGGAGAGAAACGGAAACGTCTTTATTGCCTGTGGAAGGAGAAGCAAGATTTATATGCTTTGAAAAGGTATGTATTACAAGATTTACTTGGTAAAAAGTCCAATAGTCATCAATACTAATTTGCATTAAGGTTCTTTCTCTCAAGAGCTGTGACTTCCTGACATTCACTACAGAAATTTCCCCTAGCTTTCTGTTTTCAAGGGGAAAGCTGGCCTGTCCTTGTTCCCGGGATTCAGCCTTTGAAAACAATGTCCCCTTAATCATAAGACTGTGTATCTAAAGAAACAATTCATTTAGCTCTGCAACAGCAATTACAATTGTTTTCAGTCTAACTGCAAAGCAAGTTTTGTCTGTTCATCAGTATTCAATGGCAGCAAACTTGATTAGGCCCTTTAATCCTTAATGGAGGTACTACAAAACAGAAGATACACCACAAGTATACAATATAGGCTGGGTAGCAAATGAAGAACTAGATATTATAATGTAGCTAGTCACACTGGTTGTTTTTTTTTCCTCTTTTGATTCATGTATTTTCATGTTCACAGATCTACTGTAGTTTTCTGCCACTTAATGCTAACAGGAAAAAAAACCCAACTCATCTGCTTGAGGAGATTCTGTTGTAATGTATCCAGTGCCTGCTGCTGCACCAGGCAGTGAAGGAAATAATGGACAACATGGGAAACTTATTTTTTTCCTTTTTATTTTTGGAGCTATGTTGCTCTGTGCTGGATTCCTGCTTTCAGTCTTTATTCTCCAGTCATGCCCATCTGGAACCTTCAGTGACTGTAACGAGGTCCTTAAGGCTGCTGGACCTGTGCTGGCTGTAACCGGACTGGCTTGTGTTCTACTGGCACGATCAAGGGCCAGGCTGTACATAAGACAAAGACAATTGCAAAATGAGCAGGTGTACAGCCTTGTTTTTTGTCGTGGGAGCTGTCAGTTTGCCCAGTTTCTCATATTTGGATTCCTGTTCTTAACTAGTGGAATGCTAATTAGTATCCTGGGCATTTGGGTTCCTGGCTGCAGCCCCAGCTGGCACAGCATACAGCTCAACCACACCGGCAGTTCTGATGTGGACCTCCAGGGCTGTGGATTCCTGTCACTTCAAATCATGGGACCTTTGATTGTGCTTACCGGGTTGTGTTTCTTTGTGATAGCTCATGTTAAAAAGAAACAAAACTTAAATCTCAACCAAGAATCTTGTGAAAGTGAAGAACACCCTCAGAGCCCTGAATCTTTTCAGGTTACAGTAGGTGGGTAAATAATGTGTGAACTTTACATTTGAGAGTTAGTAGGTGGTTTTCCCACTATTTACCTCTGAATGTTACTTATTTGAGCTCTAAGCATGTCAGTTCTGGCATGTCAAGCCAGCCAAAACAGAAGGATCTTGCTTTGTCTTGTATGTTTTCTGTACGGTCAGTTCAGTTACCTTTCTCTCAAAGACAAAACCTCTCCTTTGGCACAAAACAAAAGGTCTGTCTGCGCAAAAGAAGCCATGTAATCTGACACAAATGAGTCCAATCCCACTTCCTTTCCCAAAGGGTGTAGCTGACACTGCAAATCACAGGTCTAATGACTTCTGTGACTATATTTAAGATTCATTTGAGCCTTGAGCTCTGACCCCTTAAACAGGAGAATCTGATTCATAAGCAGTATATTGTATCTTTTTAATCACGGCCACATATTCCATCAGTTGGATGTAATTGCAAGATGCTTCTGTTAATTGCACAGTATTTGAGTAAATGTGGTATGTTAGCAGGGAATGCTCCCCTGCATGTAGCACTGCTTTTAACACCCCATGAAAACATTCTACGCATAGATTATTCTGATAACTTTGTAGCTCTCAGGAGGGATTAATGAGTCAATCATAGTATTGCTTGACTGTCATCTGACAGCCTGGACTTGAAATCCATTATGCAAAAGTTTTTTTTCTTTCTGCCTGTCAAAAAGATCTGTAAACTGGTGACCCTCAGAAAATGTGAGGGTTTAAAGTCAGTTTTCCAGCCACCAGGATAAATGAAAGTGTCACAGAGAGGAATTCAGATTATCTTTAAAGGCAAGAAAGCAAAATTGGTGGATTCCTTTTATACTTCCATCAGGAAAAGTAAAACTGAAAGGCTGAAGGCTGAGGTCTGGCTGGCATAGTGATGTTCTGGAACAGTGGTGACTTGACTAGAAAACACACCCCACCTCACTCAATATTTTTGATGCCCCCTGACCTGTCTCTGCACACAACTTGCAAAGGAAAAAAAGTGACAGGCAGCTGTGAATGTCTATATAAATTATGCAAGCTCAGTGACTGATAAGAACTTTCTGTTTAAAAAAAAAAAAAAAAAACAATTGAAACCCCTCAATTACAAAGTTGAAATCAGATACGCTGCACAGTATGCTTAATAGTGAATTAGGTATCAACAGCATCATGGTACTAATGTTAGTAGTGTGCATTCAGCTATGAGTAATTCAGAAGGGAAACTGTCAAGGCACACAAGATCAGTCAGAACCATTAACTACTTGAATGCTTTTGTTATAACACTGAAGTAGATGTGGAGATACTTGAACCACCCTATTTTAGATGTGTAAGGGAAAACTAAATACTTGCCTAGCCTTAAAGTGAGCCAGCAGTAACTGTGTGCTTTGCCCTTACAGTTTCTGAAGACAGCTAACAGTGAAGAGTTTTGTGTCTCTTAGCTAGATGGAATGTTCCCTCTCCCCCAGGTGGATTTTCTAAATGAACTCTTTCATTTATGAATATGCTGCATTTTTATCTTGAGATAATTTGGGGGTTGCATGTATTTCCAATGTACTTTAACAACCCAGAATAGGACAGTTCTGTATGTGGGATCATTGCATTTTATCTTAAAAGGTAGACAGGTACAAATACTGTAATTCCAAAGACAGGAAATATTCTAGGATACAGTTAGAATAAACAGTGGTGCTCAATTTTTCAGAGGTAGTAACTGGTGTGTTTTTTCCTAGGTGATGCTGTAATGGTATTCCCACCTCCACCACCTCCTTATTTTGCTGACCCTCTGTCACCAACCATGACACGCTGTCTTATGTCAGGTGGTTTGCCTACAAGTGAAAATCCTCCACCATATCACTCTATCTTCAGTGATGGGTAAGGCTGTTTTCTTCTCTCTTTGGAAATCCAAGATGTTTCTCAAGGTATCCAAGATCATGTTCTTAAATAATCACTGTGAATTAACTCTCTTCTAGGCACTACCAAGTTTTCTAGTGCATCACTCAACTTACTTCAGATACCTTACTTGAAATGGCATTAAAATATCCTAGTATAAAAGGGAAATTGCAAACCACAGTGTGTCCTTCATGAGGTTTAAATTCTTACAAGTTTATTACGACTAAAAAGGACTTCTGAAGTGAAAACAAAGTCTTAAATCAGTGGCTTTATTTAAATATACTTAGATTAGGTTTCTTCCACAGATTGTCCAAGAGAAAGTACCCGTGACAGCAGTCCCCCAGTGACATGATATCCACACTGCCAGACTTTAGGAAGCCTTTGTAGAACCAATGCAGCAAGCCCTTCCTGACACTGATCCACAGGCCATGTGACTCTGGGAATGCCACTTTAGTGTGTTCTCTTCTCCCTGTGACCCTTAACTTGCTGCCTTGAGGAAGTGAGACCTGCCATGATTATCTACCTTGTTCCTGCTGTGGCAGTGTGTTGAGATAAAAGGATACCTCAATATTGTGGGAGAAGAGCAGGAGGCTCCAAGGACCTTAAAAGGGAGGTTACAATGCCAACTTCATCTTGGGATGTTGTACCTTACGCATGCAGCCACTCTTCTATATATTTAGTAGAGCTGATTTGCTAGATGCTGCCACCACCAAGCTCAGGGAGCAAGAGCTGCTGACTGAACTGAAGAGTTGTCTGCCCAGAAGCACTTGCAGGTTATTTATCGCCTGTGTGTTGCTGCCAGTGGGCTGCTAACTTCAGGATGAAAGAGGTCACTGCAACGGCCACATACTAGGAGCTAGAACTAGGTCTGGCCAGGAGAGCTAGATGCAACCTGCCTAGAGCCCCCAACTTATTTTCAGGCCCTTAATGATCCAGAATTGACTTGGCTTTACCTTTTGGAAGGTCCTGTGTCAGCTTGGTTTTGACCTGTGAGTCAGTAAGTGGTGTGGGACTTTTTCATTGGATGACTTGGTTTACAAGACTTGGTTTACATGCGGCATCCTACGTGCCATCACTGCAGCAATAGCCCCAGCCTGCCTGGCTGTGTCCAGTTGTAGTAGTTGTTGGGGCCATTGCTTTAATAACTTTACACTATACTCCAGACTTCTCCACTGATATGAGACAGTGTGTTCCATGACCAGTTGTACCAGTTGTGCACCTGATGTTGGTTCTTCTTCAAAACTCTAGTACTTATCTTCCTTTTGAAGTGAGCAAGCACAAATGCTCTTCCTGCCCAAAGACCTAAATGCCACAGGAGGAGGATACTTGTGTTAGCAATGGTGTTTATTCTTGTTACCATGCTGTGTGCAGCCATGTCTGTGGTTTTTCAGTCATCCTTTGAAGTATACCTGGTGGATTCTTGAGGCTCAGCCCCACTCTGTTCTCTAGTCAATCACCATCAACAACTCCACATATTGTCCTTAATTTCATAGTACCCTCCTCTGTATTTGTTGGAAACAGCAGATGCCTCCTTCTGTTGCTGTTACCACAACCTAGACTGTTCTGCCATCCATCAAAATCACTGGTTTTTAACACAGAATAAACACCTTTCTGTCAAAAACCCTACTCAGTTTTCCTTGCTACTATGCAACACTTCAGTGCACAATGGCACTGGCCCCCAAACCAAAAGATGATCGTGTACATGCCACCTAAGGAAAGGGGACGCTCCATGTTTAGTTCCCACTGACGTTGATGCTGTGTTGAGGGATGCAATGCCCAGTAAACCCTAGCTACACATGTAATTCGTTCAGTCTGGCGGTTTTCCACTTAAATTGTTTCAGAGATAGTACTTTTTATACAAAGGTGATGAGAATCTGTTGATTACTCAGTGCCCTAACCACCTGCCAATTGAGGGTGGCAAGGGTAGATGCAGGGATGAGAAGATGTTGGGGTTGATCAAGCAAAAGTGCTTTCTGGAGAGCAGTGGCTTCTATGACCAGGCACAAATTATTGTGTGAAGAAATGTTGTATTTGTAGTGTATAAAAGTCTCTGCCTGTTCTCAGATGGCAAGTGAAATACATCAGCTCTCAGAGCTACACTGCTGCATTTGGAGGACACCCAGAGCAAGGAGGAGGGAAAATAAACTCCTGCTGCTGAAAGAAGGAATTTACATGAAGTCTCTGTGTTCTTACTGGGCTGGGTGAAGGCATCCACAGCTGGAAGGTGTTTCATACCAGCTGCAGCTAGTCCTGGAGTTAGACACCACCCTGACCCTTGTCTGTGCTACAGCTCCAGCATATGCCTTAACTCCCATCTGTCATGTACATCCCAGATGTGCGTACAAAGGAAGTGGATATGTGTGGAGGAATGACATGCACCAAGAGTGAACCTGGACCTCTGGTAGCCCTGAGACAGTCAATTCAAATATGGTCCAAGGACATCCTCAAAAAAACATTTCTGTTTAAATACATTTAGAAGACCAGGCTGGAGTGTATGACTGGGGAAATACGGGAACATACATGAAAGCTGTGTTCTGCTTGTAGCCTTACAAGCATCTGAGAGAGAGTGACTCTTGTATCACCTGTCCATAAAAGTAAAATGCACAAAACTGAGGGCCAGAAGTCCTCTCTACCCTATCATTTCAGGCCCTGAGTTCAGATGTGGGCTGCCTGCCTGTGTGCTTGGTAAAACGTGTGCATTATCAAAGGGTATGAAAGAATGCAAGCAGCACATCCTGCACTAAAAAAAGGAGAAACAAAGGGCATTGGGGGAATGGCAAAAAAGCTAGTTTTTCAGGCTTTCTGTGGGCTCTCCCCGCTGGTGCACACCCCTCCTTCCTTCACCCGTTCTCCACAAAATCCCCTGCAGCTGGCTCAACTGCCTTAACCCACAAATGTCCAGTGCTGGTCCTCTGAACTTTGTGTGTGATCCCATCTACCCAATCATCATTGATCACCTGTGCTGGACTTCATTGTCATGTGAATAGAGAAGTACACAAAGAGGCAGTTTGTAGCCCAGCTTGTTGGAGCAGTTTCTAGTGGAGTGGACAAAACACCTCAACCTTGGATACAGAAACCGTGACCTCCTGCTTTGGTGTTCTGTGGCTGAGGGTGCTCTAGCTGTTACACTTCCATGCTCCCCAGGGTCGTCCCAGAGACCCTGTGAGTTGATACTACCGCTGGGTATTTCACTTGATCATGCTCTCCCATAGCTCAGCACTTGGTAGCAGCCATGGCTTCTTGACCAGTGCCAATTGGTTCTCAAGCCCTTTTATGGAGGAGAAGCAGTGGCCTCGTTCCTCCTAACATAGTGCCATGGTTGAAGATCCCGAAGCTGAAAGGGAATATCCATTTCATATGTGGGTGATCACTACACAAATGTGATTTGCCTCTTCAGTCCATTGCTCCATGTTCTGTCCACAAGTGCTGTGGCGGAGAGTGTGCTGGATGAGAAAGCTTGTAGGAAGCTGATGCATGGTCTGATTCCAAAAGTGGCTGGTTTTTTCCTACAGTCTGTTGTACAGCACTTCAGCGTTTGTCTTGTATTGTGTTCTGTTCTTTCTCCTTTAAACACACACCCTCACACAGCAGTAACAGCACTGAAGATGAGGTGACTATGCTCTATACTCCTGCTCCTCATGCAGTATTGATGGGGGTACAGATATATGCACAAAGGCAAGAGTCAGCTCTGGGCAGGAACGAGTTCTTCCTTTTCCTTGGAAGCAGCTGAAGCAATATGCTGAGGGCCAACTCCGGGGCAAGATGAGCAGCGTACCAGAATTACGTGCGTGCAACTGACTGGGATCCAATTGTGATGGTCAGAGGAGGGTAGCGAATACTTGGCTGCCCTCCTTGACTGTCACTGGGAACTTAGCAGCCTGGTTGCGTCCAGTTGCTTCTGTTTCTCCAGCTCTGAGCAGGAAGGCTACTCCTCATGTCTGTCGTGGGTTGCTGGAAAGCTTTATAAAAGTTTCAAGAGGCCTTTCATGTAAGATTTCAAATGGCTAAGGATTGCAGTTTTTGCAGTGCAATTCTAAGTGTAGTAACTGTCTTTCACAGGGGAAAGGGACAGTGTGTATGTGACAGTCTACAAAAGGGAAGATACATTAGGAGCTAAGGATCAGAAGAAGATTTAATAAGTCTGTGAGATAGCCCTGCCAGCATCAGCTAATACCCATAAGCCAGGCTATGACTGGTGATGTGAAAGGTTAGAAGGGAGCTTGTTTGCCCTTCCCCTCTGAATTAATAGAATTTTCATGAGAGTCATAATGTAGCCCATAGAATGAGATCCAAATGCTTATGCAAGTCCTTTGCTTAAGGGATTTTTAGGGAGTGTGCGTGTACATGAATGTTTATGTAAGTCAAGTGGAATTTCACTCACTGTAGAGAAGTGAATTATGCTAATACACAGTTTTGTGTTTTACAGAGCACAGCTTGCAGATGATGAAAGAACAGTTGCTGTTAGAGACTTTGAAACCATATATACAATTTCTGGAAGTAGCTCACCTTCAGATATTTTACCAATGCTATACCTCTCCACTGAATCACCTCCAAAATACGAAGAAAAAGCATCAGTAACAAATAATGAATATTCTCCATCTTCATCTTCTTCATCTATTTCCTTAGACACATCTGACACCAGCTCATAGAGGACTGTCAGTTAGACTTCATTTTTAAATTAAATTGTCCACTCAGATTTACAATTTTTCAATTTATTTACATTTTGTAATAAAAGCAATAACACTGGCTGTGTCTAATTTTTCATCATAAAGCATAAGTGATGAATTTGGGTTTCAAGAAATACTAGATAATGCTGGGCTTCTGAGCAAGTAGTCTGAAGGGATTCAATTCACTGCAAGAATGTTAAATGCTCATCTTGTTCTGTTACAGCTTCAGTTTCTATTTTTAGTTGTTCTTTATATAATGGAGGCACTAAGTAGAGACCAACTTTTTTTGCTGAATTTAATTAAATCTGTTTGGAGCTTCAAAAAAGAAATAATTAGGAAGTGGTTTTATTTCTGGTTCTGTACGACTTTTGTGGACAGTACTTGCTTGCAAAGTGAGTGGCTGTATACATACTCGGAGAGCATCACAAATAAGGGTGTTTAGGATTGGGACCAAATATATTATGGGGAACTTAAATGGTTACTGTTTGGTCTGCCTAGTAACAAATTCTCCATAGCTTAATTTAGACCCTCTCTGGTCCTTATGTAAGTATAATCCCTATGAAAATCAGTTTTAGCCAGCAGTTAAGAGCCCTGAGGCAGCACTGAAGATAGTTAATAGGCTAACAGTTTAACTGTGGTAATGACTGATTTCAGGGGGATTATACTACTGTTATGCATCGTCATTCATGGTTTATACAAGGGGTGCTTGTTTTGTGAGGGTGAACGCCACTCAGCAATCATATCTTCCAGGTGCAGACGTTACTTATCAACAAATGCAGGAGAGGCAGTTTCATGGAAACGCATGCAACACATGTTTTTAACGGACACAGCGCCTGACAGAGCCTTCAGAAATACAGCCCTCCTAGCTCCTCCGTCCGTGTGCAGCCCCTAAGTTAGCGGTAGCTGCCTCCCTTCAGGATGGAGTGATGACGGGTTCTGTTTTGCAAATATTTGCACCCATTCCCAAACTGAAGGATTTGCTTCTAGTAGGTAAGGATAATTAGCAGGAATTGAGTTGCTGCTGACCTTTGACGCTTTATGAACTTGCTCTGAACCCTGTTTGAGAACAACAGACCTGGTTCTGTGCCCAGAAACACAAGGTGGCAGAGTTACTGCTTCAGCTTGGTTCAGCATGGTGCACTTACCAGCATTAAAACATCTTGCAAGAGTGATTTCTCTCTTGTTCAGCTGAGTCTCTGGACAACTGCATGCTCTGGGACCTCAGCTACCCCTCAACTTGTCTTCTGCCACACTGAATTTCAGGAAACCTGGCTGTAACAGAATGCCAGACCTTGAAATAAGCAATGAAGTTCTCTCCTGTGCCTAGAGAAAGATGATTGCCTCATGTCATGTTTCTGTGAACGTGCCTCTCACCTGCAGAGTTCTGTAGAGAGATGCTCAGGAGCTCCTGCATTTGGCCATTTATTTCCACCTCTGCATCATTCCCTCGGTCATGCTAGGGCAGCTCTTTGTGCAGCCACACAAAAACAAACCAGCCAGTGAGGGAAGTATATTTAGCCAGCAAATAGAGCCGAGGGGCTTATGTATGCAGAGTAATGAGCAAACACAGCACAGAGAGGGATTTAGTATGTGGGAGCTGATTAAACTGGCGTGACTCAGCCATGGGAAATGTCTGTATGAAGAAAGGGGATCCACAAAAGCCAGCAGGCATTTTGTCCTCTTCTCTCCCAAGTGTGTTTTATCTAGTGATTTTTTCAGAGCTGCTGTTCCTTGAATGCCTTCTGTAATCCAAGCTACAGTTTACCATCTTTTTAATTTTTTTTTTTTAAATCTTTTGTTTCTCACCTGATTTTTAACAGTGGTGCCCACCGTCCTGCATGATTCATGCATACAAAGCCTTGCACATGCCCAAAGGAGCTTGTCTCTCTCTCTGGATTTGTCATGATATTGTATAGTAAGTACAGAAGCTGGGGTATTTTACCTAAAAGATCCCATGCAAACAAAGACCCATGTTGACTTTGTTCTGTTGTTTGAATTACAAATGAGCACTCATTTGCTGAAAAGGTTAAACATCAAAAAGCATTTAAACAAATAATTCTTGAAATACGTCACCATTGTTTTTTTCTTTTTTTTTTTTAAATACAGTCACATCTGATTGCTAGCTGTAAAAGGTATTAACCTTTAGCGCTGCCTGCAATTTGCTCAAGCAGTTGTTCCCAAGATGTACCCAAGAGACCAGACAAATCAAGTAGAATATGTCGACCCCGAGCTGAGTCCTCTGGAACTGAAGCATGATCTTCTTGTTTTTCTTCAAGGTTACCATGTTTTGATCTTCCATTGTAGAGTCTCCAGTGTGGATAACTTTTTTTCTAAAAGAGCGGTCTTCACAGAAAGCATAGTTTAGAAAGCTGCTGACCTGACCCTTCAGAGTCAGCACCTGAATTTCCTGGGGAGGGTAGGTGTTACTTCTGAAAACATAGATTGAAAACAGAGTTCCTCTCTGTATCATTTTGGGAGTATGCTGAGGAAATTGTTCAATGCACAGCTGTATTAGCATCTCCTATTTTTGACTTCGAGAATCATTCCTTGAAAACTCTGTGGATGTGTTGGGTGCATGTCCATAACCTTCTCAGCACTGAGAGAACTACCATATTCAGGGCAACAGTATTAGCTTACTGTGTTGTTGAAACGTGTTTCAGCGAGGTCAGAAAATATAAGAGGCTAGCAGATCTGCTCCACCACTGAAAGTTGCCACTGGGTGAACAGCTTTAGTGGGGGGAATTTTTCACATGGGGAGTAGGGGTGAAATGTGTATTAGAAAGGAAGAAACACCTTGTAAAACTATAAAAGTAGCTTAAAATAATACAGAACAGTGTTTTTATTGAGGAAGTGAGATACTTTACTGTCACACTAATGGTGCTATAATACCCTTTCTGCCCTAGGGTTAGCTTAAGTGCTTGACACACAAATGCTATGGAGCAAATCAAGTTGGTTACTGATTCACACTACTTAAACAGGCAAAGTGGGAGGTAAGGATTGCTTACCCTCGGTAAGTGAAGTTAAGGTCTCTCTTCCTTGCTGCCTGCACTGACATTGCTCTGCTTCTAACTGCAACGCTACAACTCTTTGGATATGAGAAGAATTCACAAAAATACAAATGGATGCCTCCTCTCTAGGAGAAGTCTTTCTTCCTGCATCACCAGCAGCTAAAAAAAATGGAAAGCTAACTCATCCGGAAAACAGATTGCACAGATCTCTGCAATCATGCTATGTTTTTAGGATAGAAGCACTCATTGGATTACACCCACCCCCTCCTTGCCCTTTGTGGTTGGTAGCACTATATCCATCTATCCCTTTTGCATCCTACCTCTTCAGAGTCATGGCTTGTGGGGCCTCTCTGTGTCCAGGCAGACATTTCTGCCCATACCTCCATGTTTCTGCAGCGAACGTGTCACCCTTCACCTAGGTCTGTGCTCTTCCGTCTCCCCCACATGCATGTATCCAGATGATTAGGTATGGAATTACCTTCAATTCAGTGTGCCTGCTGACAAGACAACATCCCCTGGGAGTGTATTTAACCACCTTGCAGGTAGGTGCAGTTGTGGGCAGCTCGCTGAACCTGCTCCTCACGGTTTATTTACACTTAGAGGCTGGCAGTGCAGTAGTACAGGGCCCCTGGGTGCAAGGCCGTGTCGTGGTGGTTCTTTAGGTACTGTTCTTACACACGTAATGTGTGTTTTCCACTAAACACGCCACGTACAGTGGCCTTTCTCTAGGAAAAAGTCTCTCTTAGTCAAATCATCGGCTCCTTAATCTCCCTACAGTTGAATGTTTCATTATGGAGTGATATTTTGTAACTACTCCTTTTAAAGCCAATCAGTATGCAATACCATGGCATAATTTTCTTTTATACGACATCTTTTGCATGTCCTATGACTAAGCCCCTGACTATGTTATAGGCGTATAAGAAAATAAAACCCCACTAAAACAGGCTGATAATGTGAACAACTGTGTAAAAAATATAGCAGAAGGAGAGGAGAAAAGGATTAAGTGGAAGGCCTGTCAGTGTTTACTGGGATGACTCCTGAAACAGGTCAGAGAACTGAGGAGGTGCAGAGTGCTACAGAAAACCTGCTTCCAGCAGCAAGTGCTGCAGTGAAGTCTGCATTGGTGATTGAAAGTTACGTACAGGAGCGGAAAGCAAAGCAGTGCTTGTGTTCAGGGGTAAGGTCCCTGAAGCAGATGGGAACAAAACTGTAGTGAGATTTGAAAACAGCACCCATTCTAAAAACCTCACTGATCAGTTCCTGAGGTTTCACAAAACTGTTTTCATTTGTTTCGGGAGTTATTCCAGGTAAAAGGGGATGCACTTAGTAAATCAGCATCTTTAAGTGAGTTCCCAGAACATACATTTACTTGGCAAAGTAAAGTACTGGCCTTAAAAAATCAGTGTGATCTGGTAATCTCTTAAGATCTTGACAGCTGCCTGAATGCAGCATTGCCACTGTCTGGGGAAATAATGGGAGAAATGTGGGGAGGCTTAGAGGAAATTATATCTTACAAAGAGGGGACAGTTTACAGGGAAAGGTGTAATTTTAATTTAGATCCTACTGCACCAAGCAGAAAGTGTTTTCCATCCCATTTTCAAAGTTCAAGTGACAAGTAACCCTGGAAGAAACCACCTGTATCCTCCAGCTCTACTGTGCACTTGCTCAACAACCATGAAGTCAAGTCCAGGCCAGAGGCAAAAAGCATCAGCCATGGGATGATGTAACACCCAACTTGGAAAACTCTGGCTCCAGCCAGCATCTAAGGATCATTGTGTAGGACCAAGGAAGTGCTCCAGCACAATCATGTTGCAAATAGCAGTTACAGAGTTCTTGAATGAATGAGAGGAGGAACGTGACACTACATCTGTATATACCATTAGTTAGACAGCTGTTATGATATAATGCTGCTTTTTAAAGGATGTTGGAAAGCCTAGATGATTCAGCAAACAGTGGCAAAAATGATTCATGGTATGGAAAAACCTGACTTGCAGAGAGCAGTAACAGAAGTTCATTCCATTAAGTTTACCAAATATAAGGCTAAAGGTGACTTAGGTTTTGGCTATAATTACCAATACGAGGACAGCTTATCTAGTATTTCAGCAGTGTCTACTTTAGTTGTCATCATATGAAACCACTGCATTGCAAGCCCTAATTCTTTGCTCAAGTGGTGCAGAGAGTCCTGACTAAACTTGGTGCTGGGGCAAGGGGTGATCTTGAGTGTATTTGTCCGAAAATTTGTTGGTGCCCTCAGTAATAGATGAGGCATAATACTGACTTCGGAAACTTCGCAGACATTTTTTAATGGAGTCCGGCACTAATGTTCCTCCAGGTCTATCTGCCAACAAATGAGAAATACACATCTGCCATTGCATTTAGCACCGGTTCTGATTACACCTTTCAGAAGCGAGCTGTTGTCGCACTGTGTGATACGAATGCACAGGAGGTTAAAGACACCTTTGCTGATTTTGAAGAAGCAGTCTGAAAGGTGAGTTTTCTAGTTCTAGAGCTATTTTTATCTAATAAATCTCAGGATAAGCTTGCTTCCCCAGAGCTGCTGGTAGCAGGAAATAGCATTATACGTTCTACCACCTGAGGAGTAATCTCTGTCCTGTGTGTATTCCCCTGCCATGCTAGTCAAAACAGATTGAGCAGCTGGAGATCTTTTCCTCCTAAAGAAATTATACAAAGATGTTCTACCAGAACGCTCAGACAGCAATTACTTTAGTCTGAAACTGTTAGTAAACAGAAAATCTTAATATTCAGTTAATCTGTTTGTTTAATATACAGGATATATGTTCTAGGCGCTCCTGTGTATTGGATAAGATCCCTCACTTTACCAGGTTTAACATTGCAGGAGATGCTTTCTCATTCCTGCAGTGGTGCGCTGTTCAGAGTATGTGGGCTTTATTCAGTATAAACTTTGACAAAGGGGTGGATATCCCACAACAAAAAATGTCCACCAGTAAGAGGAAATTACAGAGCAATTATGCTACCTTCAAACAGCTGGAAAGCTTTGGCTGGCTTGAAATAACTTTTCTCCCACAGCCATCAGCTCTCCCAGGCTGTTCAGCACTCACCACCCTGTTGGTGCTTACCCTCCCACCCACTCACTGCTCCCCCTTGGCAAAATATCAGAAAGCCTGCTTTGATATTTTTTAAACCATTGAAGCTCTGGACTGGAGAACGAGCTGCAGGAGAGGTCCAGGCGTGGCCATAAATGTCATGCCTCAGAGCACTGCAAAGCACTTCCAGCTATGGCCGCGCATTTTCCTGCAGATCTGGGTTGCTGGAGTGGTGGCCCAAGGAGAGCGATAGTAGCCGCAGTGCTGCTGACTAAACGTATGCTGTCCATATGTTGGATGCATCAGCTGGCAGGGGGCCTGTGAAAAGCAGCGGTGTCTGCAGCTTCCGTTCTCTCCCATCTGGCATGGGCACAGCAAGAAAGTTATCAGTTGGTGCCAAATTAAAGAAGAGGATAAACAAAAAGATAAGCAGCCATGCAAGGGTGAAGCCATTTCGGAAGCAGTGGTGGTAATTCAAGAAGTCTTTAGCGATCTCTTTAGGCTTCACTTCCCAGACCTTTATTCTTCTAAGCAAAGTTTATTCTTTCACATGATGTACCCTGTTAACCATACACGCACAAAGTTCTTGCATAACTAACCTGAACCTTCGACTTTAAATGCTCTGCGGAGTCCCTTACGAGCCCCCTTTCTCTTCAGGCAGAAGATACATTATACTCAGTAATGGAGCAGAACAACAACAGCGTAGAAGATTTCTCCTTGAACGTCTTTTCTGTCACTCCTTATCAGCCAAGCAGATCCGATGTCCTGGTGTCAGATGGGGATAAAGCCGGCGCCACTTTGCTCTTCTCAGGTGTGTTTTTGGGACTGGTGGGGATCACTTTCACTGTGATGGGATGGATAAAATACGACGGCGTTACTCACCTGGAGTGGACTCAGTTACTGGGGCCCATTCTGCTGTCTGTTGGGGTGACTTTTATTCTGATTGCTGTTTGTAAATTTAACATGCTTACATGCAAGCCCTGTAAAGAGAGAGAGGAAAACATGTCAGACCTCGACCAAACTGCAAGCGGACAGTCCTTCGTCTTCACCGGCATTAACCAGCCTATAACTTTTCATGGCGCCACTGTGGTACAGTACATCCCTCCGCCGTACCCAGCCCAAGAAGGCATTGCTGTGAGCCCTGGCTACCTTCACCCGGTGCTCAGCTGCTGTGGTGCTGTTTCCTCCAGTGCCTCACCCATTCCCACCCCGGGCTCTGCTCACTTCTGCCCTGCCTGCCCCCTGGATAACCCAGCTTTTACCGGAGACGAGAACTACGCTACTTATGCTACAGAGAATACCAGGAATCAGAGGTACATCTTCTGAAATGCCTTAGTGTGTTTGGACACAGGCTTCTGAGTACTTTAAGTGCTGTGTATGGTTTCAAAGGAAACAACAGCTAGTCCAGGGTGTTACCCTTCTTCAGATTTTTTTTTTCTTTGTTAGGAGTATTTCTTGAGTAAAGACTATGGAAACATATTTTTCTGGAACACATTTTTATCCAAATTAAATTCACTTATGAATCCCTTTCAATTTTCAGCCTACTAAATCTCTTGTTATTTTTGAAGGTATTGGTATATATGGTCCTGCCCATGGGGTTTTTTTAATGCTTATCTTAATACCTTTAAGCCGTTGGCCAGAAGGTTGTTATATGTACAGCCAGAGGCTTCCACTCAAACACAATCACAACACATGAGTCAGCGCACAAACAGCATTTTTAGGATAATGTGAGGATCAGTTTGGTACCAGATGCTCCCCCTCCTGATTATGCCTGGTTGCAACATGCTCCTCTCCTGCTGTAGCAGCCTTCCAACCCTTACTCTTTTCCCAGTTTGGGGGCATAAACAAGATCACTGATATTACAGAGCAGCATGAAACTGCTTTAATCAGACACTAAATAATTTTATGTAGTTCTTTCCTGTAAGGAAAAATATTCTAATTATAGGAATTACTCAAAATTATATTCTTCCTTGAACACAGGTCACTTTTAGTTCATTCATCGAAGTCCATTTGAAAAACTGCAGACTGACTGACGGGCTGCAGCAACATGTGTGGCAGGCATAGGCAGCCTGAAAACAAAGGTCACCTCCTGACACTTTTACACTTCACGAAAAGAACACAGCAAATGGCTGAATTGCAGTAAAACTTCATCTCATAGCATTTTCTCAAGAATCAGGAAGTGCTTTGCCCAGATAAGGCTGACAGGATGCGGTACTGAGGTTATGTGCATGCTTTGTGTTTGCTAAATTCTTTTTGTACCTGCTCCTCTTCCTACTTTCAGGTCAGAGGACAGTTGTGACGAGCCAGAAGAACTGCTGGAAGACTATGCCTGTCATGACATGTCACCTCCACGTTATGACGAAATATACCCGCTGTCTTCATAAAATAACCACGGACAATTCTAAGAGATGCCAGCTTTTAATCCCCAAGAATCTTTTCTCTTAACACTTGCATGACAAGCGAGTGTGAAAAAGATCTTGGTGCTGATACGCAGTTCAGTATCACTGAAGATACTTAACTAATCTCTTCTTTTCTCCCTCAAGATTCATTAGCCCTTTGCTATGCAGTTTAATAGCAGAGCTATTGATTATTTAATGGCAAAACTATTAATAGCAAAGCTATTAAACTCAAGGATCTAAATCCATATTAGGGTTCCCCAACAAGAAACCTGATTTTCAGACTTGCTGAAACCAGTATGAACTGTGAATGCGCAAGAGGTTTGTGGAAGGTCATGATTGCTCCTGGACATTCAGCATCATTAGAAAACACTTGATTCATTGTTGATATATTTTCCCTCTTGATTGTTTGGGAAACTTCAAAAGTGCTCAAACGTCTGATCCATGAAAGTGCCTATAATGTCTTAATTCAGTCTGATTCCTTAGACTAGCTCATTCATTAATAAGTCCAGTCTACAGATTAAACTTCCTCTGCTTGGTTCACCTGTACAGCCAAGTCCTGTGCACATTTTTGGAGCACTCTACTTGAACCAGAGCATTCCAGAGCAGAGAAAATACAAATAGTGACCTCTGCCCATTTTTATGCAGACCTCTAAGAGATCCTGCACGCATCAAATTCACTTCGCTTCTTGACTGAATGTGGGTCCCAGGCACACAACTCAGGCTGCAGGTTCCCCCAGAGCATCCAGGCAACTATGGGCTGCAGTGAACTTTCTTGTTCAAGTTCAACTTTCAAGATCAGCATGGTTCCAGTTGTTTCATCCACAAATGGATTTACAGCCGTATCTAACAAAGGATGAGGGTGCATAAACTACAAAATCTTGCAATCCAGAATGGAGGTCCCAAAAAGCTTTGCTCAGGAGCTGTGTAAACCCCAGAGCAGCGAGAATGCCAGAAGTCCTTTTGGTTTTATTTTGTATTTCCATATATGCATCAAGTTCTGCTTTTGAGTGGTGCCTAGAAGTACCCTGACACATCTGGACAAGCCAGATGCAGGATCCCATCGTTTTTGCCTATCTGCCTCAAAGTTCTCAAACCAAAAGCTGTTCTCAGCCCACAGCTGCTGCAGCAGGCACCACACAAAATGGTACAGAGGGCAGTGATTACCGCCCAAAGCCACTGAGTGGCGTGCTGCTGGCGTGCCTGCGGGTCAGTCTCCTGGCCTGGAATGGCACGGCTAAAAGCAGGTGTCTACTATGGAATGCATGAATTCTCTCTTAGTTGCCAACACAGCTGTCTCAGATCCTACCAGTTGTCATTGACCTGCGATTGATGTCATCGATCTCATTCCTGAGGGCTGGAGAACCTGAGCATGGGCAGGCAGGATGGGATGTACCTGTCAGCTGGAAGTCAGTGAGTGCCCATGCAGCCTTGCTAGCAATCAGGACACGTAGCTCAGGATGGAGAGGTCAGGATGGAGATGCAACATTGTCCAGTTTCATGGAGCTGCAGGTGCACACCGACCTCCCTGGCCTGTACACTTAGAGGGTGCCAAGCAACAGAGCACTTTTGGAGGGGCACAAGACAACCACTGTGCTCCACAGCAACGGATGTGACACTGGCAGAGGTCATATTTGGGACACAACATTTAAACCGACTCAAAGCTGGATCAGCAACTGAGCAGCAGCTACTGGACAGTGACCACAAACTATGTGCAAGGTTTTCTCACTAGAGGAATATGGGGCATGCTGCTTTTCCGCAGCAATGGCCCAGTGTTAGCAGGTAGGCACGTACAGTTGCAGAAAGTCAGGCACTCTGTGTTCAGCATGATCTCTACGGGACTGAGTGAGAGAACAGAAGTACGTAAAAATAAATGCAGGTTTCTCTTATGGAAATCTCTTGCTCCTCTTCAAGAAGTTACACAGAGGTGAACCCATCCTTCCTCCACAGCAGGAAACTAGAAGGTCCCAAATCCCCAGTTAGTTCCACATGGACAGATCCCTGCACTTAGCACGTAGTTCTGCTGACTCCAGCAAGCACTGCAGGAGCGCAGAGGTCAGGCTTGATGGATCCAGTTGCAGGACCAGGGTCAAAATTTCTACCCGATCACCCTCCCCCACCCCCCACAAGAAGAAAATTCCTTCAGTCAGAAACCACAGACTTTTGCTGCTGCTCTCTCTTTTTTTTTTTTTCCCCTCCCCCAAATATGTGGCATTAGCATGTTTCATGGGGTACTCATAACGTTATTTTTAAGGCATCAAATCGTACTGTCAGAGTAAATATGAGAAATCCAGAAAGTTGCACTGTGGACTCCACATTGCTTTTAAAGTTTACTTCTGTAGACACTAAGTTTATTGAAAGAACCCTGGGATTCTTTTTAGAGAGAAGGCTGAAAAAATAGATTTAAATAACTATGTATTAAAATTATCTTGAGCCATCTGATGAATTCTGCCTGAATTCTGTAGGATTTTTTTCATGCTGCACGGATATTTGAGAAGCTCCAGTCTGATGACATTTCCTTGCTGTACTGATTGCTGATTTTTGACTTTAAGAATAGAGCAATATTCTGTGAAGGCTTTTCTTCCTCCACTTCCTTCTACCTTCTACTCTCATCCTGGTTTCTATTCTAACAACTTTTTTATCTTTGGGGTTTTTTTGCTTTTGTTACTGTAATCCTCAGTGATATAACCATCACATGAATTCACCTCTCAGCATTATGATCTCTTTCTGCCCCATGATGGGTAAAAGAACAAACCTATTTGGCCAGATCTTCAACCACGGTGCCCTGACACAGCTCTGCTAGATTATTCTGATTCTACTCCTCAGAGCACCTGGAAGATTTTATTTGAGGTTTTGCTTAATCCACTTTTCATTTAAACTAGTGGTCTTTAAGCAAAATTACCTTCTCCCACATTGCTTGCAATGCTACTGCAGACCTGCGGAATGATGCTATATTACAGTTAGATGCATCTCAAATTCTAGGCCTAGCGACAGAATGTTGTATGTGAGTCTTCAACTATGTGACACTGAATGGGTTATTGGGATTTTTCATAACATGACTCCATTTATAAGATTTTGACCATAAGCTGGTTAACATACGAAATCGGTAGAAACATGTCTATTGATATGAAGCTGAGCACAATCCATTCATTGCAGCAAAAATTCTGCACAGAGCTGCTCTAAGATGGAGGTGTTTCAAAACACTAAGTGCCTCATGCCAAATGCGTCTCCAGGACGCAGATTTCTTCTCAAATAAAATCTAAATCTGAAGTCTGCTTTTTAGCATCAGTGCTGCCGTACCTGTGAGGCAGTAAAGGAACATACAACTCAAGGTTTGCTTCACTTTGGTCTTGCAGCACTTTCCCACAAAAGCCGAATTTCACCAGAGGCGCCTGTTCCTGCCACCGGCGCGCCTGTTCAGTGCCTGCGCCCACACACATACCCCAGCAGAAACCCCGCGCCGCTGGTGTCCGAAAGCAGCCGTGCTGAAATCCTTCAAAGAGTTATTTTTAAACTGAATTGGGATTTAGGAAATCGGGGTCTCGGGAAAAAAATAAACCTGTAAGTAGGGCTTGTTCCTTTCCAGCGAGCCCTAGTTACGCACACCGCAGCGCTTCGGCGCGGGGTCCCCGCGGGATGCTCGGGTGATGACGCTTCGCCGCGCCCCCGGTTCCGTGCGGAACCTCAGCCCCCGGCCCCAGGGGCCCGCACC